ACTTGCATAAGAAAAATTGAATTTGTATTTTTATGCTTCATCTAATGAGGAGCGTTCCATGTCAATTATTATTCTCGAAAAATATTACTGAATAGTAGTTGTAACAATCGCAGATTACCGATTATCGTGGGTAATATCCCGAGACAATGACGAATGGAGACTATGATTTTCTTCAATTCATCTCGAGTAACTTGTATTTTGGGACAATTCAATTCGACCATATGAACATAAATAATCATAGAATAACTCCCTCGAGCTAAAGCTCTCGGGAATTATTCAGATTATTAATGTTCATATGGTCTCATCAAATTGTCAAAATACAAGGTACTCTCGATAGAATTATGAAGAAAATAATAGTCGGCTATTTGTCATGGTCTCGGGATATTACCCACGATAATCGGTAATCTAAATACAGTATCGCCCACCTTTACTCGTAAGATGTTTACAATTTTATCAACATTGAAAAATGTTCAGGAAGTTGAAATTTTTTTGATATCTCTTGAAAGGTCAGCGTTATATGGTTAGGGCACGTAGCAAATTGAGTGTTTAAACAATATCACCTCAAGACACATATGTTATTACAATTCATCTGTCTAAAGAAGAATATGAAGGAAAATGTGGCGTACGACCGTAACAACGTCACTACTGAACAAAATTAAAAAATGAAAACTCCACGTGGTTTGAGTCACTGGATTGTATTAGATTGATAAGAGTTCGGACACAGAAATGATAACTGTAAGTGTTTTTGAATGTTTGAATTCATCACGTTTTTTTTTATTCGAGGTGGTTGAAATCCTTTATGGACATCATATGGGTCTAATCTCCCATATAATAGTGTGGGAGTCCCCTGACTAGCCACGGTATACCCACTAAACATTCCACCCCGCTTGTAGGCTCGTCTGACCAATGTCTCCGACGACACTTAGGCCTAGTGGCCCATTGTATCTTGCCTAGTAGTTTTTTTTAATTATTGTGCCCACTCCATTATCTCTGTTCGTTAAACAAGTCTGTACAGATCCTTCAGTGGATGTGAGTCAAATACTTCTGGTTCACCTACCGATTGCCCAAAAATGTAGTGTTTTCTGCAGTCCAATGCCTCGCATCTGCACAATATATGTGATACTGCTTCTGGTTCCTTTCCGCATAGTCTGCAGCTTGGGTCGCCATTATACAGTCCCATTCTGGTGAGGTGCTCCTTTACTGGCGCATGGCCAGTTATGAGTCCCGTAACAGTTCTTGTCTGTTCTCTGGTGAAGTTGAACAGGTCTATAGTTCGTTTATGACTTGGTTCCTTAATGTATTGTTTTCTATGTCTGTTTCCTGGGATGTTTTCCCAGTAGCTCTTATGTTTTGCCTGAATCCAGTCTTCAACTAACACTCGTGCTGTACGTTTTGGTACTCCAAGAGTCTGTCCTGGATCTGGCCCTCTTTTTGCAAGTTCGTCAGCCTTCCTTGACTGTCTGATATAATGCGGCTCTCGTGTTATTTTTTTCCGGACGTTGAAGAATTGCGTACACCTCTGCTTGAAAAACTGAGGCATGCTTCCCCAATGAGTAGCTGAGGCTAATCACCGGATGTTTGAAGTAGATTTATTAAAATACACACTTTGCATTGTGACAAGAGCACCATAGTCTTCCCGCGCTTTTTTATTCAAAATTGTCTGAATTTGACATTTGACATACATTTCTGAACCTCAGAATTGAAATATAATTTCATAAACTATTGAGAAGAAAGCATAAATAAAAATGTCCTGCTGTGTATTGAATTGTGGGAATTCTGAAGAGAATAGATTTCATTTCTTAACTTTTTCCAAAGGAAATACCAACCATTCTCATATAGAAGGAATGTATGAAATGGCCTGGATTTTTTTTTATGTTCTGGTTCCCACGAAAAGGGATATCCTGTAATGTTCAGAGATGGAAAATTAATTTGAAGACAAGCAGAATTTGTGAGATACATACATTGAAACTCACTTATTATAACAGCAGATTAGCATGAAACTATATTTTAGGCCCATTTTTGAACAGAAGATATCAAGACTTGTTAGAGAGAATCTGCTGTTCCATCCATTTACACAACAGACTATTTGGAAAAAAATCTATCATTATCATCACACGAATTGCAAAAATTATCATGGAGAAAGAGGAATTGATTGCAAAACTATGTAATGAAATATAAAATTTGAGAATGAAATTGAGGAAATCAAGTAAATTGCAAGGTGATATACACTGTGTCCAAGATAAGGATTTCTATCATGGGATACGTTTTTATTTTTGCCTGACGTTAATTGAAGAGATATAGAAAAGCAGATAACACTTTCTCATTCCCATTTTTTAAGATATTCAAAATAGCGTTGAGACATTTTCCGTACGACGTTTCGTTTCGGAGAAACCATCATCAACTATACCCCATGATAAACATCCTTATCTTGGACTCATTGTATATCATTGAATGACGTTTTCAATACCGACTGAACTAGCTATGGGTATATCCATATGTCTATTTTGTCATATTACAATGTTGTTACATGTATTCTTTTCATTTTTATAACTGCTCTACGAAAAGTGCCTTATCGCTTATAAATTGAAGTGGGTGTTGATATTCTATTTCTATTTCCCATCTACGGCTATGATTGACTTGACAGAAAATGTAACCACTTGAAAAGACAAAGAGCATAACATATGTCTTATTATTTTATTCACTCTAGCATTGTAATTCTGGAAATATAAAAGGAAAGGAGTTGAGCTGTGTCCGAACTCTTATCTACTAATACCATTCAGTGACTCTACACGGGTTACATTGACTAATCTCGAATAGTGTATCGAGTTTAATTTTTTTTTCTGACAGGGGTTCCGAGAAAAATATGGTAAACCTGAATTTTTCCATACTCTCAACACTCTGTATCTCAGAGAGAATGCATTAATGGAGGTACGTTGAGATGATCTTTTCAATTCAAAATGATGTAAGGAACTCGTATACGTTATTCGGTCTTATTCAGACTCACTCTGTATATTCTGCTGATAGGGTTACAGCGAAATAATCATCTACAATAATTCTTTGAATTTCTCTCTTATGAGGTCACATGGGGACAAACAGGATATCAATCCCAGGATGATGATGTTCGTTTGCCGAACTTTTTCTTTCTTCCTTCACATTGTACCATAGATAGTGATAAACAGATATAGCTATAGAAAAAAATCACCCCAATAAACTTAGCAGAACCACTTACTAATTTAGTACTAATTTATTACCATATTCGCAAATTTATTACCCTTCATTAAACAAAAAATACCAAGGGCTTTGCTGGCTTTATATCAACCTAACAGAACCATATCTGAAAATTGATTATTTTGAAAAGTTCAAACATACTTCAATTTATTACTATTTTATTACTAACTTATAACTACAATCACGAATTTTTTCCTCATCATTCGATGGAAAAAAACGCCGAATTGTCTATCTCGATCTCATTATTCGCGGGAATCAATGTTACCAGGTGGCGCTCGGTTTTCATCGTTCCATGTCAAAGCCACGTCAAAACTGGGGGAAAACAAACTCATTCCTCACTCAATCCCATTAGTGCCATTAGCTTGTGTACTGCGTACTGATAAGAGTGATAACACTTTATGTCATTGGCAAGTTTGACAATTACAGCTACAGCAAGATGTATGCAATATAGTCTATGCACTTTATCCATAGACAACAGTTCGTTTTCCCCCAGTTTGAATTTCGTATTATGTAATCAGATGTCGCCCACTTCGTGAATCTCGCGAATAGAAGAACCAAAACTCGAATCACATTTTTTTTTTCAAATCCTATGGGATCATCAGTAAGTTACTAATTGTTTACTAATTTATTGCCACATTCGCAAATTTCTAACTCTTCATTTAACAAAAGAAATCGACGGCTCTGCTGAGCTTTGTGCCAACTTGGGAGAACCATAGCTAAACATTCATTTTATTGAAAACTTAAAATGATCTGAAGTTTTGAATAGCAGAACCATATACATTAAATTTTTTGAAAACTTCAAATCATTTGAAGTTTTCAATAAAATGGATTTTTGCTATGTTTTTGCAAGGTTGACATAAAGCTAGCAGTACCGTCTATTTTACTGTTAAATGACGGGTTATAAATTTGCAAATGTGGCAATGAATTAGTAACTTATTGGGGACTCAATGGAATTCCAAAAAACACGTGATTCGAGTTTTGGTTGTTCTGGGTTGAGATCGAGATAAGACAAATCGGCGTTTTTTTATCGAATGATGAGTCAAAAATTCGTGATTATTGTTATAAGTTAGTAATAAAATAGTGATAAATTATGGTATATTTGAAGTTGAAACTGATTTAAACTGTGAAAAGGAGAACTTTTTCATTTAAAAACTTCAAGCAGCATTAAGTGCCAGTTCTTCTTTTTCTTATATTCACGAAATGCTTCAATGATTCACAATAGTTAAAAAATATGTGTTTCAACTCAAGAAGAAAAATTATTATTATAACTTGTAATATCTTACAAGTTTTCAATATTTTCATGGAATTATGCCGTATGATCACAAGAAAGATGCAGCATTCTGGTCTAGGAAACCTTATAAAGGCGATTTAAAAAAGTCAGTGATCAACGAACATATTTCCTTGAAAACTATAGAAATCATGATTTTCAGCCATCAGGTATCAGGTAGCGAAATAAGTAGACTCTTAAAATTTATAATGGCAAGATTATATTGTTGATTAAGATAATTGCAAGAATTATCTTTCAATTAGTGTCTAATTGGCAGATTTATCTAGCGATCAGTCTTATGATTCATCTTCAATTTGGCCATAATTGACAGATAAATCTTGCAATTATCGTAATTGGCAGAATAATTTCTGCTTTGTTCGTATCTGTTTTGCTACATTAATTTTCTTGTGAAAATCTTGATTTTATGGTGATGTTTTACACTTGAACAACTAAATTCCAAAAAAGGTGCTTGACTCGATGAATAAAATTTTCATTACGCCATCTTCACAGATATAAGATTTATTTGTATGTCTCAACAATTTAATGGACTGATACATTTAAATGGTCATTTCATTTTTCAATAGTAACTCGTGCAATTATCAACCCTCGTTGTGAAATAATCACTGATGGCGAAGCCATCATCGTCTACGCAATAAAAGTAATTCTGCTTATTCAAAATGAAATTCTGCACTGATTCGTAGTTCCCAGATCCAGTGCAATGCAACTGGTGGGCGTACATCTTGTAATCCCTGGCACAGTTGCAATTCAGAGTGCTGATATCCGTACTGGAATCGCTCTGCCAAGTGTTGATTGTGGTACCGTCTCTCCATGTACAGTACGCTATACCGTTGCTGACATTATACGCCCCATACGCTCCGTCACCGTCGCACAACCTCATTCCGAAATTTGCGTATACCACCCCGTGAGTTTTCAGGGTATTCGTTATCTTGGTGATGGCATACTGATGGCTGTCGCATTGTCTGAGATACTGGCTGCCCAAAGTGGTGGTGTCGTAACACGGCAGTTTGGGCATGACCCTTTCTGGTACTACGGCCGAGACCAGTTCTCCCGTTTTGGGGTCCGCACACCAACACAAACCACTGTCGCACTGCATTTTCTCGAAGTTTCCCTTGCTGTCGCAGTGGAAGGAGACGAAAGGTCGCCCGGAATCCAGCAGTTCGGCTCTCCTTCGGCTGCACGAGCACGTCATGTCCGCAGCATTCGGGTACAGAGCCTGCCCGAACAGTTTTTCACCCTTGGGATCGTAGCAGTAGCATTTGCCGCTCACTCCGCCTTTGCATTGCTTGGCGTCCCATTGGCCATCGTTGTCGCAAGCCGGTTTGAATTTCAACGCTCCGAACTTGTTGTCTCTGAAATCTGAGGTGTTGGCGTGGTAGGCCATGCAGGTGTCTGCATCTAAGACGCACATGTCGACGCACTGCGCCCTCAGGGCTCCCGCTTTTGTGCAATCCGCCCTGGTCTCGCAACTGATCTCTGCATACTCTATGAGGCGGTTGCACCGTTTCGAACAGGTGTATCCGGCAGGACAACGTTGCTTGGAACAGCTGTCGCGGAAGTGACCGTCCGGGTTGTATTTCTTGCAACTGGGGAGGCAGCTCTGCGTTTCGTCCAGCGAGTAGTAGTAGGAGTCGGTGTTCGTTTGTTTGGCGATACAATCATGTTGTGACAAATCCGTCACCAAAATGTCGTCACAAGATTCGGATGAGTTCTGGATGGTTGCTAAAGAAAACAACAAGAAGATTAATAAACTATTCATCGTTCTTGGTTATTTTGAGTTGTGCCAGTGACGGAAATTAATATCGAATTTATCTCTCATTGTTGATTGATTAGAACTTATCAGTATTGATGCCAATTGTTATCTGATAAGCAAAGATATCTGAATAAAATATACAGAGTCCATTCAGTGACTTATTTTCTAACAAAGCAAATTAGGTTCGTAATGTTCTATTCAAAATTATAAGATTTTGATGAAAATACAGACCAGGATTTAATAAGATTTGAATGATATTCGGTACAGGAATATGGCATATAATGGGGAAGTTTCCTATATTGAGGTTTTTACCTCACTGTGAAGTTTGGAAAAAATTGATGTATACGTATTTATTCTTTTTTTTTTCGTAAGATCAAATTTCACTTCAGAAAAAAATAAATAAAAGAGGAACTTGGCTCCTCCACCATTCCTATGACGCACTTTCTGAGAATCCACATTCACACAGAGTTAGAATACGATTCCCTGTGCCAGTACGACGTTGCCGACATCATCAATATGTCTAGATTTCCGAGAATTGTTCTTTGAATACATAATATCAAGTTTGATGTTTTATAACTTATTTATTTTTTATCCGATTTTCATGATTTTGTTATCAGTTTGTAGATCCATTTATTATGTTTTTCTTCAATTATTTTATAAAGTATCATTTTTCGATTAGGCTATATTATACAGGAGGAAATCAAAATGTTGTTTTTTGTCGTAATTTCAAAACACCATGTAGGGAAACTGAGGTGGATAATTTTGTTTACATAGTGTTTCTTTTAATCTCTGATGTATTCTAAACATTTCTTTTTTTAATTCATTCCATTATCTCATTTGTGCTGAGAGCTGCAAAATTTAAAATGAGATGAAAATGTAGGTATGTCAAGCTTTCGGTTAAAAATTATCGACGTTGGCTATGGACGCTATTATTGTGGCAGAATGTTTGACAGTGACAAAATTATAATTTGTTGTGTGTCAATGTCGTATTAACTCCAGCAGACGTGGGTAGAATTGTTGCGTTAATAGAGGATGGCCGTAGCAAAAGTTATGTCGCCCGTACTCTAAGAATTCCGCGGTCAACAGTTCGAAATGCCTGGAATATGTATTTACAGACGGGAAATTTTACTAGACGGCAAGGCTCTGACAGAAGGAGAATGACCAGTGCAGCTGATGATCACTTTGTGTCTCCATTAGTTCTTTAAGAGATCGAAGATCTACTGCTGTGTGTATAAAAAATGACTTGCAAATTATTCGTCGAGTAAATGTGAGTGAAAGAACGATACGTAAAAGATTGGCAGAAGCTGGGCTTTATTCACGAAGGCCAATTATATGTCCACGATGACTTCCTCGGCATCGACAACACCGACTGAGATTTGCAAGATCGCATTCTGACTGGACTCTAGAACAGTGGGGAAACGTACTATTCACAGATGAATTCAGGGTTTGTTTAAGGTCGCCGGATGGTCGTGAGCGGGTATAAAGACGTAGAAACGAAAGATATGCTGACTGTACCATATCAGAACGAATCTCATATCATCCTCCAAGAAGTTGTTGTTCCATTTGCTCCTTTTATTGGGAACCAATTTACATTAATGCATGATAATGCTAGACCTCACGTTGCACATGTAGTGAGCGAATACCTGGATGAAGTTCGACTGCCAAGATTAGAATGGCCTGCATGTAGTCCGGATCACAACCCAATCGAACATCTTTGGGGCCAACTTGAAAGAGCCGTTCGTCGTCGTCCTGTACAACCACAAACCTTGCAAAACTCACGACTGGCGCTGAAGAATATCAAGCTATTCCTCAAGAAAGAATAAGTGACCTTATTCATTCGATGCCGCGAAGACTGCAAGCTGTCATTGCTGCGAGAGGAGGAAATACACGTTATTGAATTGTTTTTGTTTAACTTCATGATATACCTAGTGTTTGTTTTTCTTAATAAAAATAGGCTTCTAATCAGCGTTTCATTTAAAATTTTGCAGTTCTCAGCACAAATAAGATAATGGAATGAATCAAAAAATGAAATGTTTAGAATACGTTAGAGATTACGAGAAACACTATGTAAACAAAATTATCCACCTCAGTTTCCCTACAGGGTGTTTTAAAATTACGACAAAAAACATAATTTTGATTTCCTCCAGTATAATATAGGCTAATCGAAAAAATGATACTTTATAAAATAATTGAAGAAAAACATAATGAATGGATCTACAAACTGATAACAAAATCACAAAAATCGGATAAAAAAAGTTATAAAAGATCAACCTTTAAAAAACAAAATTTAAGGGTGGCGGAATATTGTGCCGGTGAGTGTATATCATAACTCAATCCTACTTTCTCAAGTATTATGAATAATTCCCATTAATCTCTCATTGGCTGAATGAAGTTGATTACTAATAAAGATAAATTATGATATTTTGCGATAGTATCTATGATTTCTCACTATCGTTATATTACAATATGTTATTCATAACTTGTCGGTCATTTTTTTTCTAATAAATTCGTTCCTTAATAAGGCGGATCTATTTTCTAGGATAGTTGCAGATTATATCTTGCAACAGCGCCTAATACTTCGAGTTCGTCCACACCACTCAAAATACTGACAGGCACAACAAGAGGAAGGAGCGATGGGTGTCGGCTTCATTCTGTTCTGACCGATGGCAGTAAATCAGGAAGGATAGTATCATTGAATGTAGCCGATAGTGATTCATTGATTCAATGATATTTTCGTTTAGGACCGAGTTCTATTCGAGATATTTCAATGCATAAATAACAAAACAATAACCTGCCAGAATGAAGCCAACTACCTTCTGTATTCCTGCTCCGAGTGCATTTGTGGTTATGTATGCTTTTGTTCACCAGTTTCACTTCTTCTATTTTTTTCATTCGTTTCTCATTCATTATATGCTATATTCTTCACCATCAGCTATTTTCAGACTAGATTCAGAATGTTCGTCACAGTTTGCCGCCATGAAAATTAGAAATTGAAAATTAATTTGAAAGTCAAAACGACTTGGACTTTATCGGTCGCCATTCTGTACAGCGTGGACTTATTTTAGGAAGAATGGCTGTAAGAATAAGTGGACATCATGGTTACTGATGAGGATTCAGAGATCCGAAATGGGTTCATTGCAATAAAGTCATATAACCTGTGTGTGAGAGATAATATTTCCCATATCACTGATATGAATGATTATTTTTGGACGTGTTCAAGCTCATCAAGATCAGAGTTCATGCCAGTATACTTCTATACATTCCAATTTTCATTTCAATGCTGAATATATTGGTAAGTCATATTTCTAGATCATTATTCATCATATTATTCATCCGATTTGAAGAAGAATGTCAATTCTCAATTTCGGAGGATTTTATTCTTTATTTTTCATGTTCCCCTTTTGAATGTTCATCAGATATAATTCAATGTTCGACGTGGCAAATAGCCAGGAAAGTAGTTGTTTTCTGTTGAATATTCAGAATGATGTGTGTATATACATATTTTTGTCTGAAGGAGAATGCAAATTCTCAATTTCAGAAATTTTTATATTTTATTTTCAAACTCTTATCGTGTGTGTTCAATAGATATAATTCAATGTTCGTCGTGGCATATAGCCAGGAAAGTAGTTGTTTTCTATTGAATTAACTGAAAAAGAGTAAATATTCTCATCACATAGAGAATGCGAATTCTCAATGTATTGCTTTATATAAATATATATCCATTTTTGTATGTTCATAATTTATCTGAGAATATTCCTTTTCAACACTGAAAGAAACTTCCTCATTACAGCTTGTAGCAGAATGCGGCCTTTTATTATTCATTCCATGAAAAATCATCAGGAATTGTGGTATCAGAATTGGTATATAATCCATGCTGAATCGTTTTTTTAGAGAAAAACATCCTTTAGTTTTAGTGATGTTGAATTCAATCAGGTTGTTGGTTCCCCAAGATGAAATGTCAGCAAGTTCTTTATTAACAGCGTTGATTTAGTTTTCTTGGATGGAATGAGAAATCTGGAAGAAACCAAAGTATGGACAATAGACCTACTATCATTTTCTAAGCCGAAGAGAACAGGCGCGTATACAGCTTCGTTCCAAGGAGGGGGGGGGGGATAATTCGTGGCTCGGGGGTGACAGAAAACAAGAAACTGCCGCAGGAAAAATTTTGTTTTTGATCAAGGTCAAATGCCTTCGAATTGATGGTTCAATTCAAAATCAGTTTTGTTTAATTTATCTGGATATTTGAATTTCCTAAACGCAAAAAAAAATTAATTTTAAATTTCAATCCTACTTCCACTCAAAAATGCTTGAGTGAAATTTGGTAAGACGATTTGATGAATACGTAAATCACATTATTGTTATTGTTTTTGGTTGTATGACAAATTGATATTTATCATACAGGACGTGGAAAGAAATAAGGACTTGAGAAAACCCAATCACGAATCTGCTATTAGAGGTTCAAGTTTGAACCCCCTGATTGGATATGAAGGTATTGAAATGGAATATTCTCAGATATATTATGAACTTGAAAAAAAATATACAGGGTGTCCCATTAATCATGGATCAAAAGAAGTGGGGTGGGAGGGGTATATGACGGTATATGTGATATTCAAATTGTTGATGGTTCAAAAGTTATTCCATTTTTATGAAAAACGCGACCCATTTGAAAAAAGTTATAACAAGAAGGCTGTTTTGAATAACTTCATATTATAGATGAAAAACCCAAAGTCATCTCCACAACTTTTATTGAAATGATCAAAGATCATCAATGGTACATGTTTCGGGCTTATATAAGCCCATCGCCGATAAAATAGTTCAAAGTTCTAGAAAAAACCGGTATTGACTTAGGATATAAATGCAATGATTGATTACTTACATGGAAGTGAAAAAAGTTGAAATTCAAATAACGTGGACAATAACAGAGCAAACAAAGGCAACTGCTGATTCTGAACTTCCTTTACATATCTATTTAACTGTTTGTATTCCAGATCATCGAGCAGTTGCCTTTGAGCACATTAGTTTGAATACCTATAAAATGTTTCACCATTTCTCAACCATAAGACTTAGTCTGATCTGATCAAAATTCATTTATTGATAGGTACTGCCTAAGAACAGTCCCATTTGGTAAAACTATTGAACTTTCAGAAAAATTTGCTCACTGCCTCACAAAGATTATGCTGGAGTTGAAAAATCAAAAACTCGAGAATTATCATCATTTGGATATAATATGTGGAGTTGAATGAGAAATTACATGATACGCCAATGTCCTCAATATAGCCTAAACAACAACAAATGTCAGATATCTAGTGTTTATCTCCAGAAATGAATAAAGATGGAACTAAATAACTGTTTCAAAAACACTAGAGAGAGAGGAGACGAGGATCTGTCCGTACCCTGTTGAGATGACAAATACGTCAATTTACATCAAGGGACCCTATGTATGCCTACCTGGTATTGGCAACGCTGTAATAATAATGTGGATAAGGTAAACAAATATGTATTCGAACTGTGAAACCAAACAGCGGTATGACGAACCTTTGAAATGTATGTCATGTACGTTCTTGTACTGTCAATTCGCGATAGAAAATAAGCGTACGCCACCTATCGGAGTTCTTGAAAGCTGCCAAAGCGGCATGTTTACTTTGTTTTCATTGGTTCACATTTGTTTTTTGTTTGTGCTTATTGGTCATATCATCAAAACAAACCACTCAGAAGTGTTCAAGTTACTGCCTTCAGGTGGGGCGACGTGTTATTTTCTATCGCGAATTACCGCTATTTCTATCAATTAATATGTGATTATGTATGACTGTTAGTGCTTGTCATAGTGTCATAGTGAGCCGAAAAGAAAAATCCAATACATTGTCAGTGACAATTTCTTTTGAAAAATATTTGGAGAAGAGAAATATAGATATATCTGAAAAATATCAAATATTTACTCAGCTTTGGACGTTTCGGGAACCAATCTGCTTCCGTTGTCAACATAAAAAATGGAAAATATTATTCTTTCGTCTGATTTAACTGTTAAAACTTCTCAGTGACAAACGTTGATGAAACGAATGAGTTTAATTGATTTATCTTGAATTTACCAAATCGAGGAGAGAAAATCTCCAAAAATCTGGTAAAATAACTGTCTTATTGAGGATTGTGTTTCAGAGCACGGAACCTCGAAGTAGTCCGCGCCATTCTATCGCCAGCAACAACAGTTCGAACTTGTCAACGCCGCCTTCTCCACATGCAGATCATCACAACAGCTCCAGCTACGACAGCTAGGGGCAACAGGATAAGAGGCACACAACAAGCCTGAGTTGCAGTTTTCTCTCTAAAGAGTAAGAAATCACATTCGTTGTTCATAATGTAAGGTGTTCGAATGTTCGTTGATTTATCATATTAACAAGAGTTCTGGAATTTGTCGATATATTCATTATTTTCCATATTGGACACGTTAAGTACCTAGGACTGATTAGTTACCTCAAGTTTGAAAGTAATGAAGGGTTATTCAACAGACGCGATATTAAAATTATATATACATAAATATAGATTTTAAAGTGGCACTGTACTTATTTTTATGTACATTTAGTTTTTGTGTTTATATGTTTTTATTTTTATTCGAGTACCAAGTGTAAAATAATACCAGTCAATTAAGTGTTGTAAAATGATTTTAAAATTATATTATTTCTGGAATTTTCAGATGATACAGCAATTTTCATATATCGAAATTGTTGAATCATCTAGATTTTTATATATTTTATATTTATATCTATTTATTTGTCTTGTTTTAACATTTTCACCAAGATTAATAATAGCAAAGTTTACATTTTATTAATTTTAGGAAAGAAGTATTTAAATATTCATATATTTATCAATTTTATTATATATCCATGTTTTAGTACAATTTATTTAATTTCAATAAATTACAGTGAGACAATATAGTATTTGTGATGAGTGACTAAAAAATTAACAATTCATAATTAGATTTTGTACTTCTTCATTATTCATTAGGAAATTCTAGTCACCTTTACAAATACAATAAAAATTAACATTTTTCAGTTTGTAAAGGTTCTCCACTATGTTGAAAAATGAGAACTCAAAAAACACCTCCCTTCTTGATACATTTTCAATATTATGCGAATAGAAACATCGTGGATTTTCTTAATCATATAACTTACACAATAATTTTAAGGAATTTGTTTATGCACTTTTTATTTTCAACCAGTTCAGATCATGTAGTGATATACATAGCGGAAAACCTAATTAAACAGACAGACAAACTTAGATTGCATCGTTTTCTCATTTATCTATAATGTAGTATAAATAGGGTGTTTGATTGAGATGGGCCACCAGCTATATCTTGTCCATGATACAAAAAACAAAGCTATAAAATGAGGTGATAAGGTGAGATCATACATATAGTGGTAGTCATTTATATCACATGAAAGTTGTAAAATAACTGTAGTATGTCGACTGACCTCAATCAAACACCTTGTACAATAATTTTGCTTTTTAATTCAACAGTAATATCGAGGAATAATACCACACATTGTGAAAACTGAAAAACAAAATTACATACATTGGAGGATGTTCTACTTCATACAAACTTTTTTATTTCTCAACCGGAAGGAATACCTATTATTGTTGTCATGTTCATCGATTATCATACTACACTGTTGAACCAGTAATCAAACTGACTTTTTTCAACACCCCGACACCTCTTTTTCCAAATTCGTCTGCATTTTTAGAACATTTGAACTGGAGATACCTACAAAATTAGCGAAAAACTTGATAAAAACTGGTTCGACAGATGGTAAAGTAGTGTAGTCTGATTATTGTGCCAAAGGATCCAGACTGTTCCACTCATGTTTTCAAGAAACAATCAGAATTGATCAAAACTGGGGAATTATCAATTATTGATGAACAGCAAGACCAACATATACCCTTCGTTTCTTGAACTATTAGTTGCGTTTTATTTATCCGATTCCGCCACCGGATTCACTTCAATGTGTCGTTTCATTAGCAATTTTTCCAATTCCAGTCGCTACTTTTCATTCCATCTCACTACAAGGAATGACGTGGAATGACTGTTGACAGTTGTCAAAGAATTAAACTAGATAGAAATTAGAAAAATTAAGCTTGTTGAAAGGAGAAGATATTCAGAAGACATTTTTAGCGTGAGGTTCACAAACTTATGTTCCATTGAAGTAAGATAGGAGACAGGTTTTATATGTTTATTCCCAGATAAAATGAGTACTCTTAATCTCAGAAAATTTTGTCCAATTACCACAATCACTGCTCCAACTATGCGTTGATAAATTTTCTAGATTCTTAACTCTAGTATATTGCTTTTGGAATTATTGGGAGCCCCAATATATGAATATAACCTCTATCATCTATAGGTCGCGTGCAAGAACTGTCAGATGACCGACCCTGGAGGCAAAACATATTTGTTTACAAGTGATTCAAATAGTTTTTCACAATTATTTTGGCATATGAATCGTATTTTTTCGCTATTCATCAATTCGCTAATGCCATCACATTGTGCTGATTGTGCTGTTGTAAAATCCACAAAAACTGCAGCGGAAGATGAAGAAATCCGGATGGTACATTATGATTCAAAAGTAAGTACCTACTATAAATAGTAACTCACATAGTTTTCATTTTTGAAATTTGGTTATTTCTCTGATTTCTCATCGGAATTCCTTCTGCAATAGGATCAGCTAATAGAAATATACCTGAAATTTCTAGAATAATGCAAGAAGATTGGATTCATGCAATCAATCGGTAGGACTGGTCTGACATGCTGACGATCGTGTGTGTTGTAGACATTTTCAATCTATTAGCAGCATAAGCTTGTATTTTGTATTGCAGAAGTGGCAGAAGGCAGAAGGAATTTTAATGTTAGTGTGAAGTTATGGTAATTTTGCACTTATCATGCGACGGGTTTTTTTTCGAAATTTTTTTTTGGTACTTACGTATTTTTGTCTGAAAAACACGAATTTGATAATGAAAATGTGAACAAACCATTATTTATTGAGATATTTCACTATAAAGTTACAAATTTCACCTTCTTTTCCGCCTGTCTTTGGGGCGCATTTAGAACAATTTGCCCTTCTTTTTCCATCATTGGACAATTTATATATATCACACAATGTTGGACACATATTTTTTATTATATGAGTCAACTAACTAGAAATATGATTTTCTTGTGATTTATCCATGTTTAGTGAAAAGAAGGAAGAATATCATTTGAAATAATAGTTGCGTTTTATTTGTTCCATTCTGGTAGCGGTGGTGGGAACAGAATGACGTTTACAAATAAAACGAGAAACTTCATAACCTTGCTTGAGAGAATTTACATATGAGGTTATATTTGTGTATGGGAGATCCAAATAATTTCAAAAGCATGATACTAGAGTTGAGAATCTAGAAAATGAATCAACTAATATTTGGAGCAGTGATTGTGGTGATTGAAGAAACTTCTCTTAGATCGACAGAGTTTATTTTATCTGGGAATGAGCATATATGAAACCTGTCTTACTTGAAAGAATCATGAACTAGTGAAACTCACGCTGAAAATGTATTCTAAATGTCTCTTTCTTTCAAAAAGGTTCGTTTTTGGTCAATCTAATTTGATTTTTTGACACCTGTCAACAGTCATTCCACATCATTCCTTGTAGTGAGACGGAATGGAAAGTAGCAACCGGAATCGGAAAAGTTGGAAATAAAACGACACATCAAACTGATTCCGGTGGCGGAATCGGATAAATAAAACGCAACTAATGGCGTGTGTAATGTCATTCCAAAGCAATCTATTGACATTTGACATCTATTTGGATTACCCTTATTACCCATCGATTAAATGGCGGTCATCTGGTATGCTTGCTCACTAAATAGGAAAAACTCACCATAAAAATTATATTTCCTGTTGAATTTCCTAGCTTAAAATGTGTCATTGAAGTACATCATAGGGATATTTCATTCACATTACCCGTCATGGTTAATGCTGAAAATCCCATTTCATTGTGTTTAACTGTGACGTCATTTCCGTTTGGATATACCTCCCCTACCTGCCCTTGGGTTTACCAACTCCGACGTTGGTGAAGGTGGTTAATGGTAAATTTGAAGATTTGTTCACAAAGTGAAATATGAAGGATATAGAAACACTCAAATTACAAATCAATGAAATCTGATTTTATGAAATAATCTATCCAGGTTCCGAAGAAATGAGGATTCCTAAAATGATGACACCTCTGATACCTCTCGTATATCAGATTGTGGCAATACTTTGATGATTCTCTTTAATCAAATGAAGAAATATGTCTTTGCCTCCTAAGAAAACAGAGGTCAAACCATCCATCAAGAATGAAATGATTGCACACAATTTAATGTTTCAATTTTTTATTTTCGTAGATTTGATCAATTAGGTTTACACATTAAAACAATGAAACATAGTTACACAACAAATTTTTCTTCTTTTCGGATTCAAAAAGACAGGTTATTATAACTGGGTAAAGTGATAAAGTGAAAGGAATAGGAATTCAAAAATGGTTAATGTTGACGTCATTATGACGTAGATGCCTCCCACCACCTTCACCAAAATACTATAACCGGGTTTAACGGGTAATGTGAATGAAATATCCCTCAGGAGTATATGAAGTGTCCAATGACAAAATAAAAAGAGCAAGTACCTGTAAATGCATCCAACACAAGGGGGAAAATAAGGCAAAATTTCGAACTTTTTCTTGAAATATCTCGATAAATAGTGGTTTGTTCACATTTTCAATATCAAATTCGTGTTTTTCAGACAAAAATACGTAAGTACCAAAAAAAATTTTCGAAAAAAAACCCATCGCATGATAAGTGCAAAATTACCGAAGTTATTACTATTTACCTGAAAAATCATATTACCTAGTCTCTTGCTGCATTTTTTGTGCATTGTACAACAGCACAATGCGAAGGCATGCTTGAATTAATGAATAACGCAAGAAACACGATTCGTATGCCAAAATATTGTGAAAAACTATTTCAACCTTTTGATTCCTCTGTAACCAAATAAAAAAGTGAGGTTGTGTTTCAATAATTCACAGAAGAATGAGGTTGTGTTTCAATATTTTGCCTCCAGGGTCGGTCTTCGTGCACGCGACCTATAATATGTCAATTCTCACATGCAAGGTCAAGAAGTTTCTCGTTTTATTTGCAAACTTCATTCTGTTTCCACCACCGCTACCAGAATGGAACAAATAAAACGCAACTATATATAATTGACATTGACAAAAGACATTGCATTCAATAAAAGAAATTCAGTTTGACAGTAGTTGCTGCCAACAAATAGGACAAAATGCCTGACCCTTTCTATTTCCGAGTAAAATATTATCAATCTAGTAGCAGAATCGACCCACACTTACAGGTTGTTTCAGAAATTGGAGCTATCCTTGAAATGAGGTGTTGCACGAGTCATAATAAAACAATAAAGGGCGAAAATAGTTATTCGTTTTACTAGACAGAAAAGTAGTAGATTGACTGCCGCGGCTGATAGTTCATAGCCGAGCGAAGCGAGGCTAGGAATTCAGCATAGGCAGTCAATCTACATTTGCTGCCGTGTGAAACATATAATTTTTTCTCCAAATGATATAAAACCAATTTTGTGTAATTTTTTGATTGAAAACTCCATCATTTTGTGTTCACCCAATGTCAGTGTCAATTTTTATAACTAATTTAATTTGAATTTCTTGGAACGTTGCATAGCAACAAACTTTTTCTGCCTAGGCAGTAAAACTACAACTTTTCTGCCTGTTAAGTGGCAGGAAAACGCCACTATCCCTGCCGCTTGGAGAAAAATAGTAGATTGTTTTATTAGGATCAAAAGTGACACTTTGTTTGACAAGCGAATTTTGCATTTGCGAGGCGGAGCGTTTAGCGAAGCCGAGCGAAAGCAAAATTTGCGAGTCGAACAAAGTCACTTTTGATCCGAATGAAACATGCTATTTTTTCTGCAACCGAAACAATTAACTCAAATGAACATGTGAAGTAACCACCAATGCCGTGCCATATGTATGCAATGCAACAAATATTTACAAATAATCCATGTGGTGAGAATATTCTACCTGCATTAACAGCGGGTTAGGTTTTCTAGGATGTTCGAATTGTAGTTTCAATATGAATACAACCACAGAGTGACATATTTGTGTATGGACCAGGTGATCTAATGGCAAATACCGCGCCAGTGCCAGCTATAGGAACAAGACGTGGAAAATGTTAGGTTAGTGAGCATATCAACAATGATAATAGAGATTATTTATTCCTCTCCATACTACACTGTGTTTGACTTGATAATCAAATGAAGCTAAACAATATCGTTGTTTGAGACAAAAAACTATTGCTTGCCGTGATTATTCAAAAACAAGTTATCCATCCTGAGTATAAGGAATGAAATATAGATCAAGCAAGTATTTGAATCTTGAAGGCTTCCCTGATCAAAACAAAAATACTTAACTAAGGTGTTTATAATTCCAATACTGAACTATAATAAGGTGTATTTATATCTCCAGCATGGGTATGAGATGCTAAATCTGCTGAAATCGGAAACAAATCACGTATGCGTCTCAACCCAAATAACCAAC